CTACTATCTCTGAGTGAGTTTTAACCCCATGTGTACAGTAACTGTACAGAAACCTCCAGAGTGCAAAGAAGACAAGAATCTCTCTCTCTGCAGTGAAGTAACGGAAAACTGAAAGACAGCTAGCTATTCCCTCCACCATTTGCTGTAAACAGTAGCCTGTAACCAGTGACTGAAAAACTAGATAATGCCCACATCAACTGACCATCAGCAGAGAACTGAAAGAATCAGGAAATAAGGAAATTAGAGATCAGGACTTGGAAGAAGCAAAAGGAACCTCAGGAGTGCTGTGGAGAGGTGCGATTGTTTCCCTAATATTTTTCCCTTCCACCAATAACATCCAAGTTTGTTTTTCTGTAACTATCTGCATGTGTGTGTAAGGATTTAAGAAGGGGTTTCTGCTAGTCAAGTTATGATCATAGAATCATAGAATCCCTACAGTGTGGAAACAGGCCCTTCTACCCAACAAGTTCACACTGACCCTCAGGGCATCCCACCCAGACCCATCCCCCTATAACCCGCCTAATCTACACTTCCCTGAACACTATGGGCAATTTAGCATGGCCAACAACCTAGCCTGCACATCTTTGGACCGTGGGAGGAAACTGGAGCTCCCGGAAGAAACCCAAACAGACATGGGGAGAATGTGCAAACTCCCCCAAGACAGTTGCCCGAGGATGGAATCGAACCCAGGTCCCTGGCGCTGTGAGACAGCAGTGCTAAAGACTGAGCCACCTCAAAAAAACAGCAGAGCAGAATTTAGATTCCCTGACCGGGAATCGAATCCAGGCCACAGCAGTGAGAACGCTGAATCCTAACCACTAGACTACCAGGGAAGGTGACGGAGCTCATCCCCTCAGGGTGGGTTCAAACCACCAAACATTTTGGTTAACAGCCGAATGCGCTAACTGATTGCGCCACATAGGCAGGCTGTGGTGATAAGTTATATTTTTGGTAACTTGTAATTAGAATTCATTTCTTTGTAATAAATAGCAGTTCATGTTAAGTACAGAAACCCGATCAGTGCTTTTTGTTAACCTGAATTCATCAAATGATTAAACTGGGAACTTTGAATAATTTATTTAAATCTTTAACCTGTGTGAATACCCTAGGAGTAGTGGGCCTTAACAGTGGACTATCAGGCACTTTCCCATATGGATTGTGACATCACGAAAGGGGAGGAACTGCGGAGGTGATATTATCACTTAACTATTAATCCAGAGACCCAGGTAATATTCTGAGGTGGTAGTTTCACAGCAGATGGCAGAATTTGAATTCAATATAAAAAGATTCTGGAATTAGAACTCTAATGATGATCATGAAACCATTGTTGATTGTCAGGAAAAGCCCATCTGGTTCACTAATGCCCTTCAGGAAAGGAAATCTGCCACCCTTGCCTGGTCTGGCGTACATGTGACTCCAGGCCCACAGCAATGTTGTCAACTCTCAACTGCCCTCTGGGCAATTAGGGATGGGCAATGAATGCTGACCTAGCCAGTGATGTCCACATCCTGTGAATGAATAAAAAAAATGACATTATTACTTAGTCTCACCTCATTAATATGCACTCTCTTATTTGGCCACCTGTCTGACAGAAACTAGATGCTGACAATTCCAGATATGAAAGTCAGAACAGGTACCTGGAGATTCCAGCTTACCATTTACTCCTCCGATTTGGATAACAGGCTCCAATGTCTAAGGACCCAATTCATGGGCAGCAGCTGCATGGACCTCATGTCCAAGGACCTTGGCATCTTACATGTACACTACACACTCATTGTATGTTTCACTGCGCACTCATAGTACACGTCACTGCGCACTCATGGTACATCTCTGATCCACTTATGCATTTTAATGCTGCACTCTGAGATGCAATGAACCTATCAGTGTAATTTTGTTACATTGACATTGTGGTGTACTTCAGCAGGCACCCAGCTCACTGCTTCAACCAGGTTGTATCTCAGGACTGCTTGCTTGCTCTCTTAGCACTCACTCTCTTTGCGCCTACCTGGATCCTCCCAGCATCCCTGCCTTGTCTTGCCATTTTGCAGTTCCCCCTCCTCAGCAAGAGTTAAGATGCTCATAATACTTCTGCCTGGTCTTGCTTTCTCAGTGCAGACACAAAGCCATGCAGCTTGTCATGGTTGGCAACAATAATCAATCAAGGGTTGGGCATGTGGGCGGACATCTTGCTGTATAGCCCTAAGCCATGTCAAATTCACCTCTGCAGCTTCCGTAGCGAGCACACTGCCAACCAATTGGCCATGTGTCAGAGTTGAAGGGAAATAGTTTTCTGTCAGACAATGGAAACACCCTTCAGATCAGGCCACCCTGGAAGGTGCAGAGCATGGGATCAATATTCCCTTATCTGATATGTAGGGCAAATGTCCCAACTAAGCAGATTGGTTCTGGCTGACTGTACTTGACTTCTGTAAAAGGCTTCTAAAATTGACACCAGCATCAGAGATCCTGGGATATTCTGGTTATGGCAAATAGATCTGGCTATAGTGACTTGGGAGAATTGGGTTAGCATCAGATAAAAGTTGCACCATAGGGGTGTGGTGGTTAGTTAAAGAGGTGAGTTTGTGTGTGAAAATGTGCTGCACCTCACAGAAAGAAACCTAATGTGAAACTTGACGAAAATGTTACTTAGCATCTGGGAAGATTTGGACCTCAGTTGGAGATTTGCAGTTGAGACCTTGAGCATGGGCGAGGGAACGGTGATCAATTTTCAGAATTGGTCCTGGAGATGGATTTAATCCGCTGCAACTTTACTCACAAGTCATCATTAGCAACATTGCAGGTGCACATTAAAAGGCACAAGTCAGAAGTGTGATGAACTACTCTTCACTTGCCTGGATTAGTGCGGTTCCAAAAATATACAGGAAAATTCATACCATCCAGGTCAAATCAGCTCACTTGATTGACATCTCATCCACCAACTTGAACATTCTCTTTCTCCACCACAATGCACAGTGGCAGCACTATGTATGTCAAACAAGATACATTGCAGGGACTCACCAAGGATCTTTCAAAAGAACCTTCCAAACCTGCAACCTCTATCACCTGGTAGGAGAAGGACAGCAGATGCATGACAAAAGAACCAAATTCCCCATCAAAGTGCACACCATTCCGACATGGCACTTTATCACCATTTCCTTTACTGGAATCAAAATCTTGGAACCCCCTTCCCAACAGCACAGTGAATGTCCCTGTACAGGACAGACTGCTGCAGTTCAAGAAGGTGGGTGACCAGAGTTATTGGGGATGGGCAACAAATGCTGGCTTGGCCAGTGATACTCACATCCTATAAAATAATTTCAATGAAGTTGGAAGCTAAGATGATGCCTGAATGCAGTAAAATTGATAAAGGAGGAAGGATTGGAAGTTATAGTCTTTCATCACCTCAGGAAGTCCCAAACTGCTTTTACAGCCACAGAATTACTTTGTAACCTGAATGTTGTAGTACAGAAAATTTGGCACCGTTTTGTTGACAACAAATTGCCATAACCGACAATGATGTAATGGCTAAATAACAAAAACAAAGTTGCAGGAAAAGCCTAGCAGGTCTGGCAGCATCTGTGAAGGGAAAAGCAGAGTTAACGTTTCGGGTCTGAGGACTGAGAAACTTCAGAACTGAGGACGGGTCACTGGACCCAAAATGTTAACTGTTTTTTCCTTCACAGATGCTGCCAGACCTGCTGGGCTTTTCCAGCAACTTTGTTTCTGTTCCTGATTTACAGCATCTGCAGTTCTTTCGGTTTTAAATGGCTGAATAATCTGCTTTAATAAGCTTGAATGAAGGACAAATATTAGCCTGGACACTGGGAGAACACCCTTGATCTTTTAAAATTGTGCTATGTCACCTAAGTGGTGAGGCCAGGCCTCATTTTAATTTCTCATAAAAAGATGGCATTGCTGAATATATTATTCCCTTAGTACTGCACTGCAGTGTTGTTGTGAGATCTTATGAAAGATGGAGAGAGAGAGGCCAGATGGGTGTCTGGCTGACAACTGAGTCTACCTTTAATGTTGAATTTGTAAGCTGTACAGGATCACCTGCTGGATAATGAGTTTGCCTGGTTGTAGAGAACATACAGCTTTTGAACAATCTGTTAACCCCTGTGTCACAACATAATGCTGGCCTTTTATCACGGGATTCAATCTTCTTAGGTCAAATAGTTTGACTGATGAAGATCGATAGTGTAAAGAGTGACACATTTGTGTCATACGGGTGGACATCAATATTTTATTTACTAGTTACACTATATGTACTAGTGGGAAGGAGAGAGCTTTTGTACACCATTGCAGTCTCTGCCCTAGCACCAAGTGTTTCTCAATGTCAGCATCAGTAATGACGTATGCTGCTCATTAGCAACAATGAGACATCCATATCCTACAAGCATCAGCTCTGTGTTAGTTCTTCAACATACAACTTCCTGACTCAGAAGTGATGGTACTATCCACTGAGGTAACTCTGACACATTAATGGCTGAATAAGCATGGCATCTGATTTGAGTCAGTGTTTTTTAATAGTAATGCGTACTAGATAATATTTGCTATTGACAATTACTGAGCTTTTGAGAATTGGCAACATTCATACTTGAAGACTGTTCTGAAAACCTCAAAGATTTCTGAAGAAGGATCTAGACCCAAAATGTCAGCTTTCCTGCTCCTCTGATGCTGCCTGGCCTGCTGTGTTCATCCAGTTCTACACCTTGTTACCTCAGATTCTCCAGCATTGGCAGTTCCTACTATCTCTCTCACCTCAAATATTCAGTTCGTAAAGTGTTTGGACCAATCCCATTTCTATTCAAACTGATTCTGAAATATAATATATTCAGAGGTCAATAATACATGTTAAGATAAAACACAAATACGTAATTACTTTATATTACATTCAAACTGGAACGCTCGAGTAAAAGTATGAGTAAAAACTAATTTATTACAAATTCATCAATACAGAATCTTTTAAAATTTTATAGCTTAAATATTAGATTCAAACTACAATAGTATCTAAAGGTACAGATGAAAAGACAAATGAAACAGGCCTAAATACAATGCATTTATAACATTTATCATTCATACCTCAATTTTATTGATCAAAAAGCTTTTCACTACGAATTTAACATAAACTTAATAGTTTGATTCTGCTAAGGCAGAATCAAACAGGGAAAATAAAATGTCTTTCCTATTATTTATCATCAACACAACTTTCTAACTTTGCTGAGAGTTGATCTTGTAAGTCATGGATTTCTTGTTTCTTTTCAGTGAGCTCCTTTCTAAGTTCATAAATTTTCATTTGACCTTCAACAATTTTTGCTGCATTATCCAGAAGGTATAGTAGAAGTGTATTCTCTGCAAATATAATCAGAACTTCCTGTTACTCAGACCAAGGGCAAATTGCTATAAAATTATCATTAGCATGAATTTACAGTCATGTGAAGATTTAGTTGAGATGTAACATAAGCAGATCTTTAAATAAACCAATGCATGCAGATACTGAAAATAAAGTTGTACAAACCCATATCCAAAAAGACAACAGTGCAGCCTAGGGATTGTATCTCATTGCCATTGTGTATTAGAAGCTATTCCAATGTTTCTTGTTATTCCAAATGTTTTGAAGACCACGTGTCAAAAGACCACTTTACAAGTAGTATACAAAGCCAATATTATAAAAGCTCATACTACAATTTCACATTGTTCTCATTGTGATGATAATTCACAGACTGCACCAGGAAGGACGATCTCTCAGAGCCTTGCACTCCTCGGGAATACTATTGCCTATGTGCAGGGAAGGGGATTGGATTTCTGCCTCATCAACCTGGACCAGGAGAAGGCCTTTGACAAGATATCACACATCTACATGTGGGATGTGCTCTCCAAAATGGGCTTTGGGGACGGAATCTGCAATTGGATCCAACATTGTTAGTGCAATCTCAATCAATAGGTTGGAATCTGAAAGCTTCCCGATCAGATTTGGAGTCAGGAATGCTGCCAACTCTCTCCTGCATTATTTGCGTGTAGTATAGAGCCTTTTGCTTAGCCCACCAGGAAAGATTTGAGCCTGAGAGAGGTGACTATTTTAGGCAGCAAACGCCTGCAGGTCATAGTCTTCCAGTACATGGATGACGTTGCTGTTTTCTGCACAGATCCACTGTCAGTTTGCAGACTCATGAACATCTGTAACCAGTTCAAACTGGCCTTTGGAGTGAAGGTACATTGAGACAAGAGCAAGGCCATGTGTTTGGGAACTGGGCTGATCGATCCTTTATCCCTTTTACCATCAGGACAGACTACCAAAAGCTGCTGTGAATATGGTTCAGAGGGGTTGGGGTGTGTGCCAAGTCTTGGGTGGATCGCATTGCCAAGGTGAAGCAAAAATTGGGCTTTTGAGAGTACCACACTCTCTCCATTGTAGGTAAAAACCTGGTCATCAGGTCTGAGGCACACTCCCTGATGTTGTATGTGGCGCTGTTCTGGCCCATTCATCTGGAAGTCTAAGATGGACTGTGTTCAGAGGGGCACCATGTACAAAGCTCTGGATAAGGGGGGATGAAGGTACACAATGCCACACTCATCCGATATCCACCTTTGTGTGCGGCTGCATCAAGCTGTGCGTAGACCCTCAGTAAGCAAACACCATGTGTCACTACATACTGAGGTTCTACCTGTTGCCAGTGTTGTGAAGGATGGTACTGGCCTTGGTGCTGCAGAATGCACCATTCGATATCACTTATCCTTCATGGAGAAATTTGCAGAGAAAAACACAGTTGACTACAAGTCCATCCAGAAGTGGTCAGCACAACATCCTTGAGACCCTGTGGGAAAAGGTGAGGATAGATCCTTTTGGTTTGTTCTCTGAACAAACTGGCAAAGTCATTTGGCAGAATGCTTCATCACCAGAATTTTCCAACAAGCACCAAGATATCACTTGGCTGGTGGTGAGAAGGGCAACAATTGTGAGATCCTTTGTGTAAGCCTGTTTGGTCTGCACCACCAGTTTCTGCTCTTGAAGTGGCTGCAGTGGGATAGGGACTGTCACACATCTCCAGCTGGAATGTTCCTTTGCAAAGGAGGTCTGGAGAGAGATGCAGTGCTTTTTGTTGAGGTTCATCTTGAGCAGCTCCGTGATGTGGGACTCTGTGCTCTACGGTCTGTTCTCCAGGACATACGCCAAGACAAACATCAACTGCGCCTGGAGGACCATCAACTCAACGAAAGACACTCTTTTTGATCTGCCTGAAAGTAGTTGGTCTTCCAGACCAAAGAGTTGACCTCGACTGAGTGTTTCAGACTGGCACATTCCAAGGTCCAGGACTATGTGGTCAGGGATGCACTGAAATTTAGGACATCTGCTGCCAAGGCACAGTGGGGAAAGACCATGTCTAAGGTCTTTCTGTTGAAGTTAAATGGTCACTCACTTACTGGAAGCTTCTGATGCCTCAAATATATGTAAATATAATCTTGCAGAAGTAAAACATGCCTTTGCTTTGTACAGCACCTGCGCTCTGTTTGTAACAAATGACAACACCTTCCAGTCACAAACCACTTCAACTTCCCCTCCCATTCCCTGGGTGACATGTCCATCCTGGGCCTCCTCCAGTGTCATAATGATGCCACCCACAGACAGCACCTCATATTCTGCCTTGGAAGCCTACAACCCAATGGTCTCAATGTGACTTTTACTGCTTCAAAATCTCCCCACCCCCGGCCTCATCCCATGACCAAATCTCCCTCTCATCCCCGCCTCCTTGACCTGACATGACCTGTCCATCTTCTCTCCCACCTATCCACTCCTCCCACCTCACTGACCAATCCCCACCACTGCCTACCTGCACTCATCTATCACCATCTCACCTACCTTCCCCAGCCCCACCCCTCCTCTCTCTATTTATTTCAGAGAACCCTTCCCCCTTCCCCATTTCTAAAGATGGATCCCAACCTGAAATACCAGCTTTCCTGCTCCTCTGATGCTGCCTGGCCTGCTGTGTTGCTTCATTTTTATCCCCAGATTAAAATCTTCACCATTTAATTATGTATGTTAATAGACTTGTTGTTTAACATGGGGGTGGATTTTACAACTCCCTGCTGGGTGTGATTTCGGTGCACAGGCATATGGGAAGGGGCATGTAAAACATGTTGGGTAGCCAACCCATTGCGTTCCTGTCTACTTCGTAGAATGCAGGGTGGGTGATTTACTCACTCCACACTCGCCCTTAAGCCTATTGTGGGTCTTAAGTGGCCAATTAGTGCCAAATAAAGTCCTTAATCTGCTTTCACTGCCATAATATTCTGGGAAATTGGCAGGTGAAGCAGAGTAGGAAGGCATCTTTATTAACAAAACCTGAAAGAACTGCAGATGCTGTAAACCAGTAGCAAAAGCAGAAGGTGCTGGAAAAGCTCAGCAGGTCTGGCAGCATTTGTGAAGAAAGATCAGAGTTAACGTTTCCGGTCCGGTTCTGGTTTTTCTTCACAGATGCTGCCAGACCTGCTGAGCTTTTCCAGCAACTTTGGGTTTTGTGTATTTTTTAACAACTTTATTGAAAAGGCGGGAAGGAAAAGGGACATATCATTTGGAAGCCCTTTAGGCAACTAGGACAACCCTCTGTTAAATTATAGACCCATGGTTGTACCTCCTTGTGTGGCATCCAAAACATGCCCACTCCCAACACCCAGAGTGGGCAATTCATCTTGTCCTAAAGGTCCTTCTGAACATTGTCGTTGATCTTCCTGACCCTATTTGCAGTCCCTACAGCATCCACTACTGACTTCTGGCACTACTGAATCTGATAGGGCTGCTGGTCAATCAGATTGGCCAGCAACTCTCGAGGATTGGTTTTCTCCCAATGAGGGGTGAAATTCTGACTGTCATCTTGTTTAGGCCACCTGCAGTGTGTTAATGTTAGAATGGAGGCTTTATTAAGGTCAATAGTTTTGGACTTGTCTTCTTGTCGGGTAACAGTCACTGGAAATTTCTTGATTGCAAAGATGTTGCTGTCTCTGTCATTCCTACAAATACAATTCTCCTATCCATATGGCTAAGCAAGGAGTCCCTACCTCCAGACTAGAAGGTTAGGTTCAAGTCCCCTACGTGAGCTAGATAAATATCATAACATGTCTGAACAAGTTGATTAAAAATATCTATAGATTAGCAAGGTCCATTGAATGGGAGGTAGACACACAATTTCTCTATCATATCCACATCCATGTTTTTTCAGTTAATTTAATAAATCAAAGTTTATCGTACATACTTCCACGACTGTGATAGTGCCAGAATATATCCTGCAAAGAAAAGAGAGATTTTAAATCTAGAGGAATTAGAAATGTGAATCACAAATAAAATATATCCCTTGCACTAAAAGATAATGTACATTTATATATTTATCGAAAGATCAATAAACAACACAAAGAATACCACATGGGATATACAAAACTGATGTCAAGTCAAAGAAGGAGAAATGTATTAAGGAGAGACGATTGAAAAAGGAGGTTGAAGCAATAAAAAGACACGTGCTTGTGTCACAAGAGGGGATTCGAATGACAGTGATTCTTCAATCCCTTGCTGACAAGTCCATAGTAGAACTTAAAGGGACACTGCAGCCATCTTCTGTCCATTACATTTAAACCAATGGAATGTCAAGGGCACTACATTGATGATATAATGAGAAAAACACACAGTGACCATTGCTCCTCACTTTACAACACTGAAAGGCAGAATCACCCCCTGCATTGAGTGCACAATCCAAAAATAACTAGTTAAACAATCACACGTATTTTCCTTGCTTACATACCTCACTGCAGAATAACTCTTCCATCTGATATAACTGCATTCCTGGTATAAAGTTTCAGTTCAATGCCATGCTTGTTATTACTTTGGACAGGAGGTAAACACATTTAGGCCTAAATTTTCTTATTTAGAACCATGCACAATCGGGATTAATGGTGTGTCTGGCTTTGCCCATTGAACATATTTTCTTGCAACACTACCATATGTGGGGATGATTCCCAACATCTTCATTGTGTCTTTGCCTGAGGAAAATGGCTTCAGCAGATTAAAGGCAGAGGGGATTTTAACAAATCTGAGCAATAACATAAATAACTGATGTAAAAAGTAGATCTAAGAGTGCTGCAAAAGAGTACAATGCTACCAAGGTTTCACATCTAGAAATTCTGTTCACCCAAGTAAATAAAAGATTGAACTGCAACTTGATACTGAGAGAAGGAAGATAAACCAAAGCAATGAACAGAACACAGTAAAAAGAAGCTCCCTTGGCACTCAATATTACCTCTACCAATTCCCATATGGCAGCTCAGCGAGATAAGCAGTTCAATGACCTTCCCAAGTCAGCTAAAGTTAGAGGTGACTACCAAAGCTGTAATAAATAAGGTAATCAGAGTTTCATATTGCAGCTAGCCATCATCCTCAGTACCTGCGATTTTCCCACTGATGTGATCAGAGAAAGAATGCAAAAGAGAAAATGAGGGTGAGCATGGGACAAGAGGCTAAAATAAACGTTTAAATGGAATTCTTACAGTGATGCGGTCATTTTCAAAAATCTCCCGGGCCTCTTCTCTGGAACAGGTTTCTTCACAGCACTCCCTTTCCAGACACCCGAACAAAATTCCAGGGAATATCCGACAGGTAGATTTACGAAATCGATGTAGGAACTGTGTGGCAGCTGATTTCTGTACAAACACTCAATAATATTGAATAGCAATGTATTAATAAATCTGGTGCCAGTGTGGATATAACATTGTATTGTTATCGTTTTCTGAAGAAGGGTCCCGACCCGAAATGTTAGCTTTCCTGTTCCTCTGATGCTGCGTTCCTCCAGCTCAACACTTTGTTATACACAACATAACCTGTTTTTTTTTTTAATAACTCAAGCCTTGTTACAAAACTTCAGATTCATGTTCTTTTATCTCATTTTCTGCTCTCTGGTAATTTTTTGCCATGCAGTATGGTCTTTTCATTTGAATGCATTACTCTTTTTAATAAACAAAATGTATATTTTCTAGATGGAGTATAATCACATTGATGTTAGCCTGATATCTATAACTTACTTGTTCAGGTCCAAATTTTAACTCTGGATGGGTTTCTAGTCGGTAGGTGGTTGGCCTAGTTAGAAATCTGCTGCAACAGAACAGAGGCCCATGCAATTTTAACTCAATTATATGCTCCAAGTCCACCTCATACCCATTCCTACAGAAATACAAGGGGTAGCCTATGGTTGGCTGTTGATATTTAAGTAAGTTTGGAAAAGGGGATTTCTGGGAGGATCTCAAAAGAGGGAACGTGTAGTGTGCAAAAACAGAAATTCCCATAAAACCTCAGCAGGTCTGGCAGCATCTGTGCAGGGAAATCGGAGAGAATATTTCAGGTCCAGTGACCCTTCATCAGACGGAGGAAGGCCTCAACTTTCCTTGAACCCTGAGCAACGCTTGCACTCCTTCTTGCCTCATAAAGGAAATATGGAAAATAAAGGTGATCTGATCTGATCCATAATCCTCTTCTCTCTTGACTTCATCTATCGGAAAAGCCACAACAATATTTTCCACTCAGGTCAGTGGAAGACCCACATTCAAAAGTGGATAAGTTCATTCGCCTCCAATCTCCAAGGATCAATGGAGATTGATATTGACTGAATGAAATAGACTGCTTCTTGAAGTGGGCTGCCTAGTCACTTATTCGGATTTCTGAGTCAAAATCTGGGCAGCTTTAGGTCAGGTTCATAACCTGGAGCATTTTAACTGCTGTTGTTTGCCTGGATTGTAGGGTTAACATTTCTACCGAGCATTCCAAAATGCATTTTCCAATTGCTTAATTACTTAACGGAAAATGAAAATGATTATTCTAGCACCAGGTAAAGTCAACAATAGTTACATACACAAAAATGTAATTTAAATGAAACAAAGTTATCTCATTCCTTGATCACAACTACGTCTCGGGAGATAGTGCAAAGAGGAAGAGGCTCAGATGTTTCACAATTCAGAATGAAGACCAGAGGGTTGCTAATTGTCCCTGTTAATGAGTAGTTAGTTCAGATGTCAGGGTGGTAGCAAATGAATGAGATCACCAAGCTGTTCTCAGCCAGGGATAGACTCAATAGCACATTTGGGGATAATAAAGGCATTTTGGAATCATGTCTAAAAACGAGAAACAGATTGGTTAGAGAATTTTCATGAAAAATGTTGATACTTACAGTCATTTGCCTGACAGTGAAAGAAAAGCAATGATATTATCCCAAAGCTCAAAATGGCTGTCATGTTATTTCCAAAATGCCTGCTTAAATTCCTTACAGGAAAGAGAAGGTGCGGTGTTATACAAGATAATTGTACCTCACTTGATCTGATATTTCACTGTTTGCGTAGCCAGGCTTTTTTTTTCATGTTGTTGAACTGTTTTACTTAATAAATAACTAATTATTTTGAAAGGTCATGGAGCAATTGGGTGCCAGCCTGGGAGGGAGGGTGGCCAGGTGAGAGTCAAGGAGCCACGTCGATATGACTGCCCAACACAATCCTGCCTCTGTACAATTGTAACAGGAGCAGAATGAAAAGTGTGTGGCTGTGTAACAACTGAAGGCAGGCACCTAATTAAAGTAATCCAGGGTTCAACTTTGACCAGCTGTTCTGTCACCTTGCCAGTGGTAAAACAGCCCTCTCCCCAACCCCATTCCCCCCAACAACTCAATGCATGCAGAGTCCACAAGCTGCAAAAAGACAGCATGCCCAAGTCTTCCATGAGAGTCCATTGAAAGTAGGCTATCCATGGCCCAAGGAAAAAACACCTGTGTAACTGGCTGCCACCACTAGGGGGACCTGCTGGGGCCTGATTGCCTGGGTCCAGCGGAGAAAAGTATTTCTGACTCCCCGTGGCGACATCTGCAAAAGTAGATACCCTCTTGTTTTCTTTGCAACCTTAGCACAAACCCCACCTCTCCATGAGGCAGCAGAGCTCTTGATTGTGATTGTGAAACAACTGCAGAGGGCTGGCCCTGTCACCACATCACCCTTTACTTACCAGTGCACAGTACACTGGCTGTAGCCAACAAGCTCAAAGTCAGTCCTCAGCTGAGGAAATTCTAATCTCCTGGTTACGTTAGTCAGCCAAGGCTTTCCTGATTGGTCCAGGTTAACAATGCCAATCAAGAACCTCATTGTTAATGACATCAACCTGGTCCCAATCACTACAGGCCGGCAATTTTAAGATAGCACTGGCAATAGCCAATTACGAAGCCACCTCCTGGAACATTGCCATTGCAGTCCCACTTTCTACTCATACATTATCAACATCCGAAATTAATCTCTTCTAAGAAAATCTCGGATTGATTAATTGATTGATTGATTTATTGTCATGTGTACCTAGTACAGTGAAAAGCTTTGTTTGTGAGCAGTACAGGCAGATCGTAAGAAGCAAGGACATACAGATCATAGGGTGAGAGAGTAAGGCATAGAGGTTACACCGCACAGGACATGCACTAGGCAAGATCAACATTAACAATATCAGCATTATTTGATGTTAGAGAATACATTTATCAGTCTATTAACGGCTGGGAAGAAGTTGTTCTTGAACTTTTTGGTGCATGTGTTCAAACTTCTGTATCTTCTGCTTGATGGAAGAGGTTGTAGGAGATCATTAACGGGGTGCAATATGTCTTTGATGATGTTGGCAGCCTTTCCATGGCAATGAGCCATATAAATGGAGCCTATGAATGGGAGCTTGGCTTCCGTGATGGTGTGGGCTGTGCGTACCACCTTCTGTAGTTTCTTACAGTCCTGGGCAGAGTAGTTGCAATACCAGGCCATTATGCACCCAGGCAATATGCTTTCTACGGACATAGTGTGCATATCATTTCTAATGTCACCTCAGAGTTTGTGGAGCAGAACCTTCCTTCCACTGGAAATGTGTCTCCTTTTTGCCTTTAATTCAGCAGAAGATTGGTAGAAACTTTGTACTTTGTGGGAATGTTATAGTTACTGTGTATATAATTTAAGATAAAATGGAAGAATTAAAGTGGGGAAGGGGTTCATGTGGCTTGTGCTGAATTCTGCCTGACAACAAGTTTGGGTTGGCTTGATCATTTAAGGTTAACCAGGAGACCGATGTGTGAGAGGTTGTGATATATTGACACCTGTAAACAATGACTAGAACAGCTGCATAGGTCAGTAGCCTGCAAATCACTCAAACATGTTAAGGTTAAACGCAGCAGGTGTTGGAGAAACTCACCATGTCTAGACCATCCATGGAGAGTGAAAGAGAGTTAACATTTTGAATTTGATATGACTCTTTCTTTTGAATAAATGCAACATATTGCATTTTGGTAAAACTAACAAGGGCAGGAATTAATGGTAGAGCCATGGGTAGTGTGTAGAACAGAGACACCTAGGGGTTCAGGTATATAATTCTTTGAAATTTGCATCGCATATAGGCATTATCACATTTGCCATCATTGCTCTGACTTTTGAGTACTGGAATTGAGATGTCATGTTGAGGTTGTACAGGACATTGGTGAGGCCTCTTTGAAAGTATTGTGTACAGTTCTGGTAGCCCTGCTATAGGAAATATTATTACATTGGAGAGGGTTCAGAAAAGATTTACTAGGATGTTGCTGGGAATGGAGGGTTTGAGTTATAAAAATAAGCAATATTCATTGCATAGGTTTTCTTTAGTGGAGTCCAGGAGGCTGAGAGGTGGCCTTATAGTGGTTTGTATGTGGAACGAACTACCAGAGGACATGGTGGACTCGGGTACAGTTATAACATTTAAAAAACATTTGGGCAAATACACAAATAGGAAAGGTTTGGAGGGATATGGGCCAAACGCAGGCAAATGGGACTAGTTTTGTTTGGGAACATGGTCTGCATGGACTATTTGGATCAAAGGATCTGCTTCCATGCTGTATGACTCAATGACTCTATGGCTGATACATTTGCTTTAATGAGGTTGAATGTAGGATAAATATTGGCCCAGACACTGGGTGAACTCGATGGATCTTTTAAAATGGTACTATGTTCCCTAAATAGGCCAGGCCTCACTTTAATTTATTGTCCAAAAGATAGCACCTCTGAGCATATTATTCCCTCAGTACTGCACTGCAGTGTTGATATGAGACCTTACCAAATTTGGAGGAAGAGGCAAAATGGGTGTCTGGCTGACAACTGAGTCTACCATAATGTTGAGTGTGTAAGCTGTACACAATCACCTGCTGTTTACTGAGTGTGACTGGTTGTAGAGAACATACAGATTTTGTACAATCTATTAGTGTCTGTGTCGCAATGTAATACAGGCCTTTTACAATGGAATTCCATCTTCTTGGGCCAAATAGTTGGACTGATGAAGATTGAGGGTGCAGAGGCTGTCACATCTGTCCTCATACAGGTGAATACCAATATTTTGTTTATCAGCTACAGTATATACACAAGTAGAAAGGAGAGAACTTCTGTAACCCATTGCAGGCTCTGCCCTAGCATCAAGTGTGTCTCAATGTCAGCATCAGTAATGACATATGCTGTTCATTAACAATAATGAGACTTATCCATTATCCTACATGTGTCAGCCTAGATAATGTCCATGGAGCCGCCTGACTCAGACATGATGGTACTATCCACTGAGACAAGGCTGACACATTAATAGAGGAATAAGCTCGGCAACTGATTATGAATCAGTGTTTTTATTTTAATAGTAATGTGTACTACATAATATTGCTGATTGACAATTACAGAGCTTTTGAGAATTGATGACATTCATACTTGAAGAATGTTCTGAACACCTCAAATATTCTGTTCATTGTGTCTTTGGATAAATCTCATTTCTATTCAAACTGATTCAGAAATATAATGTATTCAGAGGTCAACAACATTTTTTTTTAGATAAAACACAAATAAAGAATTATTTATATTACATTCAGACTGGAACTCTGCAGTAAAAGTGTGAGTAGAACCTAATTTACTGATTGATATTTTTTGCAAATCCATCAATACAGAATCTTTTAACAGTTCATCAATGAAGTGTTATATTCAAACTGCACTAACATGTGAAGGTACAGCTTCCAAAAGGACAAAAGAAACAGGCCCAAATATATTCCTTTCATGACATTTACCATTCATGCTTCAATTTTACTGATCATAAAGCTTTTCACTACAAATTTAACATGAAATTAATTGTTTGATTCAGCCTTGGCAGAATGTAACAGAGAAAACCAAAATGTCTTTCCTATTATTTACCATCAACACAACTTTCTAACTTTGCTAAGAGTTGATTTTCTAAGTCATGGATTTCTTGTTTCTTTTCAGTGAGGTCCTTTCTATGTTTGTTAATTTTCATTTGCTCTTTAAGAATTTCTGTCAGAATGGGTACTAGTTTTGGATTCTCTGAAAATATAATCAGAACATCCTGTTATTCAAGATTGTCATTAAACTTGTTGTTAGCATGAATTTACAGTTGTGTGAAGATTTAATGCTGATGTAACATATGCAGATGCATAAATAACAAATAATGCAGAACTGAATATAAAATTTTCCAACCCCTACCCAAAATGACAGCAGTGCAGCCTAGGAATTATATGTCTCATCACTATTAATGTATTAGGAACTGTCCCTGTGTTTCTTATTGCAAAGTTTTGAAGATCACATGTGTCCTTGCAGACAGTAAGGACTGCAGATGCTGGAAGCTAGAGTCAATAAATGTGGAGCTGGAAAAGCAATGCAAGTCAGACAGCGTCTGACGAGCAGGGAAGTCAATGTTTCAGGCCGAAACTTTCATCGGGACTGGAGAGGGGGAGGGGAGCTCAGAAATAAATAGAGGGAGAGGGTTGAGGCTGGGGGGAGGGTAGGTGAGGAGGAAGATGGACAGGTTGGGGTGGAGAGATTTTGAAGCTGGTGATGCAGGTAAGGGGTTATTGTGGTTGGTTAGTAGGACGGGTGGAGTGGATAGGTGAGTCGGAAGCTGGACAGGTTGTGGGAGGAGAGATTTTGAAGCTGGTGATGCAGGTAAGGGGTTATTGTGGTTGGTTAGTAGGACGGGTGGAGTGGATAGGTCAGTCGGAAGCTGGACAGGTTGTGGGAGGAGAGATTTTGAAGCTGATGAAGTCAATAATCAGGCCATTGGGCTGTAAGCTCCCAAGATGAAATATCAGGTGTTGCTCCTCCAGTTTATGTTTGGCTTCACTCTGACAGTGGAGGAGGCCAAGGACGGACATGTCACCAGGGGAGTGAGACAGGGAGTTAAAGTGGATGGCGACTGGAAAGTCGGGTTGGTTAGTGGGTGCAGAGCGCAGATTCTCTGCAAACCGGTACCTGAGTCTGTGTTTGGTCTCCCTGATATAGAGGAGGCCACATCAGGGGCAAAGGAT